TAAATGGGAGAATTAAATGTCTTATCAGTGACATTCTCACCTCTTATATAAGGGTTGGGTTACTGGGGAAGGTGACAGAGGCAAAAACCTGAACAAATCTCACAGAGAGGAAGCGGGATCATTTTTTCCTACTTTGGAGACTCATTCTGTTGGACAGTCTCCATTCCGGTTATGCCACTGTCTGTAGCCAGCCCTGGCTGGGCGGGGACAGTATTGCACCCCAGGCGTGGGTGCGGCCAGCGTCTTCTCTTCCCGTTCTAATTCTATTACCATTGATGTCTTCCCCAGAAACATGTATTTAGATGTTAATTGTGTGTGTCCTTTGCCCTTTGCACCGAGTAAATTCTCAGTATGCATTTTGTGGGTAAATGAATGAAAGAATTATCTAGACAGTAGTCATTTTTTCATTTGGCTAATAATCTGGTATGTATTCACAGTCCCTCCCCTCCAGGGGTTCACAGCCAATGTGGTTGGGGAAGATGTTCTTACATGTCCTTAAGTGTGTCGTGTGCTAACAGTGCTGGAGGAGCATGGAGGGTGATTCTGTCGGCACTTTGCTAGGAAGGAAATTTAAGCAACTGCTGTAGGAAGCAAAGGCATGCATACATTCCCCCTGGCCTTTGAAGATCAATGAGTGTCCCAAGGAATGCTCAGGGGACCAACGCTTCTTTATTTTTTAAATTAATTAATTAATTATTTTATAAGGGGAGGTGATTAGGTTTTTGTTTTTGTTTTAGTGGAGGTGGTGGGGATTGAACACAGGACCTCGTGCGTGCTAAACACGCACTCTACCACTGAGCTATACCCCGCACCCTGACCAGTGCTTCTCTAGATTCACACACGGTACACAGTCATAGTCACATGCTGGGGCAGAGGAGGTTGGGGCAGCAGTTACTTCCTCTGCAGGGAGGCTCAGATCCCCTCCACTTGCCTCTTTGGGAGCCAGGCAGCCTTCAGGGCTGTAGGACACCACCCAAGGTGGGCTGCACATTCCCCTGGATAGTGCTCAGACTCTAGCCATTTGGATAAAGTAGGCCTGTTCTGTGGTCTCCTACCTTGGCCTTGCTGGCTCTGGCTACACTGGACCTGGGAAGGGTGCTGGGTATGGGGTTTCAGTCTGCAGGGTGAAGCCTCTGTCTAACACATCACTGTCATATCCCGTCAATCTCAGTGCTTCTACATGCAACTAACAGCATACCCACCAGCAAGTGGCCTACCTAGTTGATTTTGTTTTTCTTTTCTCACAGGACAAGTCTGGATTTGAGTTCTTGGATAGAGCAAAGCTGAAATCTCAAGCTTGCTTCTCTGTTACCCACAGGGCCCATGAAACCTCACTCTTTGGGCACATCTCTCTTTTGAGGTCCCAGTTCTCAGTCCAGCAATGCCTGATGCGAGGTACGTGTCCATTAACTTGTTGACCAGCTCCAGCTGGGCTTTATCTGCCAGCCTAGGTATGTCACACCTGTGAAGGCATGCTCTTCCAGCCTACTTGGTGATTGCAATAACAAAAATCTGCCAAATTCAGAGTACTCTGGCAGGGATCCCTGCCCATTCTTTATAAATCCAAGCTGTGTTGCCTTAGGGAAATCTTTAGCCAGCATTTTTTACTCAGTATTACCCAGAGGTTAAAACTTAACGAGAAAAGGCTCATCTGACCAGGAATGCTTCTCTGAAAATAAGCTTGCTTTAAATGTTGTTTGTGGAACTACATTGAAACAGAACAAGGAAGTCATCTGATAAAGGGCCAATTGTGCAAGACGTGCCTGCCCAAGTGAATTTTATCAGATTTTTTTCCAGCTGTATTGGGGTATAATTGACAAATAAAATTGTATAGAATGTTTAGCGTGTACATCGTGGTGATGTAATGTACCTATACATATTTTATCAGATTCACTGTATTAAAAAAAAAGAAAAATCTAAAACAAGCATTTCTGGAAGAACGACTAAGATGAAGGCTCCTGAACCTAATTGAGTAACAGCAGAGCCCTTCCCCTTCTTAGAAGACCTGTGGCCTAAATGCGGCTGCTGCTCCCAGATCAAGAAATGTCCTGCAGGCACTACACCAAAGGCTAGGACGTCAAGCAGGCTCACTGGGATTCCTTCACTTTTACTTGTTAATTTGACCTGCTGATTCACAATGGGGTGTGGGATAGGTGTAGGTCTGAGCCAGTAGCGGTTACATGGTTGAATGAGAAAGAATGTGTGTGTGTTGGGAAAGGGTGTCCAGTTTCTTGGGCAGGAAGATGAAGTGTTCACTGGCTTTATTCTGAGCCTTCCTGAAAAAGAGGGAGTTGGTAAAGACAGTTAAGGGAGGCAGGCAGCTTGAAGTCTCAAGAGGAATATTCACCAGCCAGGGTCAGCCACATTGGGATCTCAGGAGTTCCTTTCCCTGGCAGACCAAGGCATAAATTGAGGGGGAAAAAAGTGGGCTACGAGGGGTGAGTCAGCAGGCAGCCTGGGGGAAAGAGGTTGCAGTCATTTCATTTTAGAAATCCCTGGGTTCCCATCCCAGAGCCTAACTAGAGAGTGTGGCCTAGGCCACACTAGCCCCTTGCAGGAAAGGGGAGAGTTGGAGCAGGATGTCTCCCTTTAAGGGTTCAGCTGTGGATCACTGAGTAGGACCCTAAATCCCCAGACTTTCCCCATCAGTATCTCTGGAGGTGGGCCGTGCAGGTAGGTTTTAAAAAGCACCCAGGTGATTCTGGGGCACTATTCTTAGTTCCTAGAACAGGACCTGGTACCTGTCGGGCACTGGCTGGCTGGTTTCAGCTCTAGCTGCCCCCCTGCCACTGCACAAAGTGCTGAGGGACATTCAGTCCACAACCACTATTCCCAGCCGACACTTCTTTATGAAATGTCACTCCCTCCAAGAGGCAAGCATGATAGTCCCTATTGAGCCAGGCCCTTTAATTTATTCTCAGGATACCCCATCCTACCCCCATAGAATTAAACATGCATATAGTAGTGATAGAGTCTTTCTGTTTTCCTGAGGACTGGATCTGGCACCCGGCAGAGCACACGGCACAGGACTGAATGATGAGTGTTGCAATAAAGGAGCCAAGGGCTTCTAGGGAAAAGCTATGGTTTGAAGGAGATCACAGATGGCCTAGGTATAGGTTGCTAGCCTCCATTCCAGGAGCCAAATTTGGAGTCTACCAATGATTCTCAAAATGCCCTGGCCCTGGGTGAATGGAAAGTTTTTCTCTTTATATTAATTGCCAGGCATTTGCTGATTCATGTCATACAGCAAGCTCTCTGGACCCCGAGGAGAGGCTCAGTCCCATTCCACTTCCAGGACTCTGGTCCTCTAGGGAAGCAAGCCAGTCACTCACAGGTATCGTCAAGACTCCTGGTTCTCAGAGGAGCATGGTAGGGTGGGACCTAAAGGGAGGACAGAGCTCTGCTTTGGTCATGCAGAGGGGATTTTGTAGGCCTTGTAGCCAAAGGGAGGTGGGCTGGTACAGGAGTTCTGATGATGGAGAGGAAGCCACAACACAACACGTGCTTAATGACCTAAGAGCAGACAGAGTGGGAGGGTGGCAGCAAAAGATTCCTGGTTAGGGCAGAGTTCTTAGAGTTGGTTCAGACACAGAAGGGACCTGAGTCACCAATTTAAGCATGAATGTTGGGACCCCAGAACCTCTGGACCACATTCTGGGCTAAGTGACACTGATAACTCAGATCTGGATCCTCATCGGTCCAAATAGAAACTGCATACAAGCCATGCAGAGTCCCTTGTACTAATAGGAAGTAACTCCAGGTCTGTCTCGAAAGATTATTGCCAGAGGGACAACAGATGGAGTGGCTGGACCTGAGCCACACCTGAGAAGCAGCAGCTGGCCCCCAAGATATGCCGCTACCCTGAGCCTAACCATGCAATTCTAACTGCAAAGTGCACACAGGGCTTGGTCAGAATAGCCAGTTGTATACTCTTCTGAGTACATGAGAAGCAGCAACCAGTAAGGACAGCATCACAACAGAAGCCCTGAGTAGCCCTATGCAAAGATCTAGCAAAGTAATGGGAAAAATGTCATATTGCATGAACTGCCAATTGTGTAAAATGGGCTTGTATGGTCCTAACACTTGAAGAGGCTTACTGAGCAAGGGCTCACTGCCCGACTTGCATAGAGACCAAAACTATGGCACCAGCTTTTGGAAAATGAGCTTTATTTCAGGATACAGGAGGCAAGGCTCTCCAATCTGTTTCCCTGACCTGGGATTTGGTGAAACTTTTTTGAGTTAGGGAGCACGGGTTGGTATGTGGAAGTGTTGATGGCGCAGGTTTGTACTGGAGGGTTTTAGAACTTGGCCATTTATGGTAAGGTATGGTAAAGTGGGCTTTAGTACCAGATCTTCTGGACAATGGACTCTTCACTTCTGAAAGGGCCCAGCATTCAGATTCCAGTTGTGTCCAGGTTCTTTGGTCCCATGATGGGGTGGGGGAGAGGAGAAACTCTGGTTTCTGGTGTTATTAGAGGTCACTTTTCTCCTCTGTGTATGCTTCCTTCAGCTGCGTGAATTGAGGTTTTGTTCTGTTCTCTGAAAAACAACTCTTATCTTGCTATCCACAGAGTAGGGCCAGTTTGGGCTGGTTCTGCCATTACAAGGCCACAGACTCTAAATGTGAGTGGGAGCCCGTGCTGTCTGTTATTTTTTATGAAGGTCATTTCGAGCTGAGCCAGTACTCAGAAAGAAGAGGCCTAACTACTAGCAGTTAGGCAGTCAGCCCTTGACTTGTCTTCCTCTTTTTGAAATACTTTCTCTTTTAACAGGGCATCAAGATGGCCCTACTGCATGTCCTGGCAAAGGGAGAAACGCTGGGACAGGAGCCAGGATTCCCACATGGGAAAAAGTGTATTCCACTGCGGACAAAAGGATGGGATGTTCAGGTTTGGGCTAGGATAAGGGCTGGCCAAGGGTGAAGGGAGGGTGTTTAAGCTCCTAGCCCTATGACAATCAGGTGCCCCCAGCTGACAGTGACACGAGACATACACACACAGTTCTGCTGACAACTAGCACTTTATTAGTGAGATGCTGTGGTCTGTGAAAGGGGAAGCCGGGATAGACAGGACACCACCCATCTCAGGGGACTTTCCTGGACATCAGGCGTTCCCTCCATGCAGGTTTAGAGGAAACACCTTCATGGGTAAAATCCCCAGAGGGCAGCGCTGTGATTGCCAAGTAGCAGGGATAGGAGGGGCATCTTAGGTAGAGCTGGGCCCCTGGGACAGCAGGGCTTCGATGTCAGGCTCAATGTCGATGGTCAGAAAGCGGCGGCTGTACCTGCGCACAGGCACACCATCTGGGCCCACCAGGAACTTCTCGAAGTTCCAGGAGACATCGTTGCGGCATACTGGAGACCAGGTGATGAACTTGGGGTCGGTCATGAGGGCAGTGGTGTCGTCACTGGGAGTGGGCAGGGCCTCACGAAGAAAGGCGAAGAGCGGGTGCGCCTTTGAGCCGTTCACGTCACATTTCTCAAAGAGCATGAAGTTGGGCTCGAACCCGCCTCCTGGTCGGACATACTTGAGGCAGTTCAGGATCTCCTCGTTCTTCGCGTTCTCCTATGGGAGGGAAGAGCAGCTGGGACCCGGGGCTGCGAGGGGAGGGTAAGCCTTCTGACCATAAACATGGGAGTTTTTCCATTAGTTACTGGGCTGTTACCTTTCCTGCGCAACCCCAGGGTGGGCCTGAACCCCAGCCAGGACGAAGTCTGGAGGAAGGCAAGTCGGTGGCCCGTCTCTCCGCGCCCAGGGCGCACGATCACCGGGCCCAGACGGGCGTCCGCCTGCGCTCCCAACCCTGGTCGCAAGCCCACCCACGCCCCGCCCGGCCCCGCGCACCTGATACCCAAACTGGTTGCACGGGAAGCCCAGCACGACCAGGCCCCGGGGCCCGAGGCGCCGCTGCAGCTCATTCAGCTGGGTGTAGTCCCGGACCGTTGTGCCTCAGAGCGACGCCACATTCTCAATGAGCAGCACCTTGCCCCGCAGGGAGCCCAGGCTCACCGGCTCCCCGCCGGCCAGCGGGCGCGCAGAGAAGGCGTATACCGTGCGCGGGGCCGCCGCCGCTAGCGCAGCCGTGGAACGCTGAGCCGCGCACATGGCGTGGGTTTGGAGAAATAAAGGAGAGCCACGGACTAGAAAAGCACAGAGGCCTGGAGGCGCCTCCTTTTAACAGGCGGGCGGACAACGGGGGTCACATGGCGCACTTTTCCGCCCGCTCCGCCCCCTCGGCCCCGCCTCATCCGGCCTCCGCCCTCCTACGGCTGGTGACCGGCGAGGCGGGAGGGTGCGGCAGGCCGGATGCGGGAACCGCCCAGACCACCGGGCGGAGCCGCGGGCGCGTCTGGTCCCTCCGAGGCAGCTAGCGTCGGCACTTGGCAGCCGCGCTATTTACCCACCCCAGGGCCCAGGCCCGAAAGGGCTCTGGATTCTTTCTCAGTGGTTCTTCAGAGATTGGGGCCTGGCCCAAGAAGACTGGCCAACAGCAGCGTGCACTGCCTGTGGCCACACAGCCCTCCCAGCCTATGCCATGTTACTACTCCTGCAGGACATGCCCTACTGTCATGAGGTGCACAGAGCGAGTTATGACTTGTGGTGACGGTGTAGTTCGCAGCAGCCACCAAGGCAAGTTCTCTCTGCGTTGAGGCTCCGTGGTTCTAGGAAGGCTAAGTTGGAGGAGGGTGGGCAGTGCTGGGGAGCTGGGGCGGGCAGCCAGGGCTGGACTCCAAAAGCCAGCTCTTTCACTCATTTTCCTGCACTCTCGGGCTGCCCTAGACAGTGTTCACGTGCAGGCCTCTCGTCTCCCTCCGACTTATGCGCCGCAGTGCGGCACTGCCCTTACAAAGGTTTTCTGGGGTCACTGCTCAGGCCTTGACCCAGACTCGTGGAGGGGACCTCAACAGCATGCAGGCCAAGGGGACCTAGCTGATTTCAGGCCATCCTCATAAATGCCTACTCAACTTCATCTAGAGCTCAGGGTTGGAAATAAAAGGCACTGAAAGTGAACATGGAGTAGAGGAAAATAACATACTCCTAAGATCCTCCCAGAAGAATGAGTGCCCCTCAGTAGGCGGCATTCCCCACCTCATCCCACTCCGAACTTGAATGTAACGCAAGGCAATCATTTTGACCTTTTTGGGAGGAGACCGGTTAGTGCCAGATTTGGGGTGGGGGTAGGCAAGCCGGTACTTTGCACCCTGAAGGAATCTTCCAAGGTGAGTTCTCCCATTCTCCCATTCCCAGCACTGGAGAGAGCAACACAAACACCAGGATACAGGAAGTTTAGAAAACTGCCTTTATTCTATTAGTAGTTGGAAAAATTAACTGGTACAGAAAAAAAGTTCAGTCAGCTGGAGAGAAGAGAGAAACTGAGTGCCACCCAAGAGAACGGGTGGCTCCTCTGGGAGGGAACCTGGATACGGTGAGAAGAGCGAGCACTGTGAACTAGAGCCAGACCCTGCAGTCCAAGTGAGACAGGTTGTGCCACCTTCTGAAGTGTCTTAAGTGCCTCAGGCATAAAACCAAATTCCTACTTACTTAGCCCAGCTCTGGGGAAGCGGGTACTGGGATATGTGGGACTGAAAAGAGGTGATATGGTCATCTTTTATCAGAGAAACTGACAAAACGGGAATTTAAAAAATGGATTTTCCATCTGACTTTATTTTCAAATACACTTTCTTTTTGTTTTTTTGTTTTTTAAAAACCAATACACTTTCTGTGGGAATGACAAATATCAGTATTAGGAAATCCAATTATACAAAAAATACTACATCTAGTCTGGGGTAGATATATTTATTTTTGGTAACATACATTAAGCGGCACTAATTACACAGTAACTATAAGGTAACTAACATGAAACCACAGAACTGTAACTTTGCCACAGCTGCCTGGACTTGGGCCTTTCTGGCTGAGCACATTTTCAAAAAACTGGATACGCACCCCAGAGCTATGCCAATGACATCTGTTAAAAGGAATAAGCTCTGAAGTGGTGACTCACCAGAGTACCTTGCAGCTGACAGATAAAAGGCAGGACATGTTAGTTATAAAGTAGTTACAGCCTAATTCACAAAAGTTACCGTTTCTCTTTCTAGAAAGAAGCAAGAAGTTAAGAAATTCCTTGAATTAGCGCCTGGTGTGTCAGGTGGGAGTGCAGAGGAGGGCTGTTAGAGCAGTGTCATAAGGACCCTGGTGGGTCAGGTGGGTCGGACATCATTAATCAATGGTTGGCTTCTAAATACTGGTAGCAAGATGACTTCTGATTTGTAATCTTAGGTAAATTATAGATAAATGAAAAAGGCCAGTAATCATACACTAAGATTAATAAACAGCACTTCAAAATTAACCGCATGAGGGCTGTGCTTGCAGCAGGGTTTCACAAGACAAGGCACCCAGATTTTTTCTTTCCACGTCTGGCTTGCAGAGCAGCTCTTGTGGCCATTTCAAAAACCTCCCTCACTCCATCTTTGGTCTTTGCTGAGCACTCCATGTACCCAAAAGCACCAATCCTGTTTGCCATATCTCTGCCTTCTTCTGGCTTTACTGGCTCCTAGCAAAAAGAGAGCATTTTTAGTTAACAGTGTTACATACATATAGTAAGTAAGTGTAGAGTATTCAAATTCAGCTAAAAGACTTCTTTTAAAAAGCTGCCAAACTCCCAGACTTGAGTTCCGTCTCATGATACTCGTATGTGGGGACTGACCCCCACCCCCACTATAAAATCCCTATCAAACGAGCTCTTCTCTGTGAAGTAGAGTGAAAGAGGGAGAGGCCAGAGAAGCCCTGGAGGGCTGCGGGAATCAAGGGCAAAATTATTCAAGCTGTTGACCCAAGGTAAGCCTTTGGGTCTTCTTAGTTAGCTTCACAGAGGACTGAATGCGCAGGGAAGGAAACAGATCATGACTTTGACATATAGACAGAGAAACTTCAGTGGGAGAACCTGGACTAAGACTTCAAGGCATTTCTCCTTTAATGGGGAAGTCCTCTACCACTGGGCCACCTGTCTTCTCAGAAGCCAAGATGTCACCTTCAAAATCACTTTTATAAAGGCATTAGGGATTTCCTAATCCTTCAGTTGCCACCAAGTTATCTTTGGCCTCACATATATAGAGATAGTAACTAGAGAGAGAAATCAAAAGCCTGATAAAGTTCCTGAATCTGGAGTGCTGACTACTGCTTTGATGGTCCCATCTTAGGCAGGCAATCTTTAAGGGCACAGCACTACCTCACAGGAGAGGTTCCATCTCTAATAACTAGGGAGTGTTAGGGACCCTCTGTATAGGCCCAAGTCAATAAGGGCCAGATGGACAGAGAGAGGCTTCTGAGACTCTCTGAAACAGCTAGGCCTGTGAGGGCTTCTGCTGGTTTCTCCCTGAACCTCCAACCTTGGGGCCTGGGTTCAAGAATGCTAAAGGAAGACAGAGCCCTGCCCCAGACCATACCTGCTTCATCTTGGCTAGCTCCCGCCTTGTGTGCTCATCATTTCGAAGATCCTTCTTGTTCCCAACCAGGATGATGGGCACGTTCGGACAGAAATGCTTGACTTCCGGAGTCCATTTTTCTGGGATGTTTTCTGAAAGAGGCAAATTGCACATACTTTAGGGATACATACAATTCTATCTTGAAGAATCTCCAAGACCCCTAGTTAAATTACAAAAAATCTTCTTGAGAAGTATGCTGGGCATTTAATGGAATCCACCAGTTTCAAAACTACAAAAAAGGTAAAATCTAACCTCCCTTCTCTCCCACCAAGGAGTTCAGCTCTTCTGGAGATATGTCCCACGTCAAGGCTCTGGAGGAGAAAAGGATCCAGAACATAGGATAGCTCCACAATGGTGCCACCTGCCACAAGGAAGAAGCCTCCCTACCAGCCATGCATGTCACTGTTGGCAGATGATTCTGACCACATCTTACAGGAGTCCTCATTCTGCAGCTACAGCTGGCCCACGGTCCACCTGCCTTCTCTACACCTTATTCATGGACCCTCAGCATGACTCACCCTGTGGATTACTGGTATTTTGAGTGGCTTGAGTGGCTTTTGAAAATGAGTGACAACCAGTTGTAGCTTCTTACCAATACTGCAGTAATTTAAAAGGTTGTAAGCACATCATGGTGGAAGAGTGACCCGGGTTCAACCTCCCACACCCACCACCTTTAGCATCTCAGTGTCAGGATGATACTATAAAATGAGGAATACAGTAATACCTTACACAGAACATTATTTGCAGTCAATGCATACAGAGTACTCAGTATGATGATCATTTAAACAGTACTGGCTGTAATTTGAGACTGTATTTTAGGAGTAAACTGTTCATTCTCTGACTTCAAGACACATTACCAAAAGGTAGGAGTTACTGAGAACATAGAAAGATGCTCTGCCTTCTGGCTAAAAGAACACACGTAGAGAAGCTACATGAATGAGGTCAGGAAATGCTTGTAATTCAGTGTTCTGCTCTTCAGCACACAAGGCAGACAGTTGTCTGCTTCCTTTTTTCCTTTGCTATACAGCAGCTACAGGGTCAATCACTAATGTGACAACTTGAAACTCAAAGCCTTATTCCAGAACAAAGGGGTTCCCAAAGAAGTGCAGTGTCTCAGTCTTCAGAGCCATAAAGAGAAAAGGGGTCAGCATAGCTAACAGTGAAGCTAAATACCCTCAGCACTAAATCTTGCTCTTATCTCTGCACCCTGTGGTCAGTTTTCAGTTCAGCTGCAACAGCAATCACTTTAAAGGGTAGGTGAGATCACATCGGTCCTTTGTTTAAACCTTCCCTATCTCACTCATGATGAAAGGAGAGGTACACATCGTTAACCACACAGCTCTGCAACCTTCACTCCTGCTCCCTCTGCTACAGCTACACTGGACTCCTTCCTTCCTCTTCCTGCCTCTGACTTTGTACCTGCTGTTCCCCCTGCCTGGGCAGTTCTTTTGTTGGGTATCTGTATTGGCCTCCCTCACCTACTTTAGGTCTCTGCTCAGAAGTCACCTTTTCAGTGAGGTTGCTGACCATCCTGTGCTCTAAAAGAGCATACTGTCTTAGCCCTTTCCATACCTAGCCCTACGAATGTTATTTATACCATTTCTTGCAACTGGATTTAAAGTTGTTTTTGTTCTTCTGCCTCCCTGTATCTACAATATAAAGTCCATAAGTAGGCCCTCAATAATTATTTGCTTGAATGTATGAAATTAATACTCCAGTAGTTC